TTTATAGGGATGAATCTGGACTCCTTTTCCCTTTAATTTCCCAGTGTGTTTTGCACCTGTAACTCCCTGTAGCGGGATGTCGCAGAGCTATGCTAGGATGCAGAGGCTTCACGGCTGCAGTAAAACGAAAGCAGGCTTGTTTATTGCCTATTTCATAGCCACCCAGAACAACATTCTGGACTTTCTCTGTGCGTTTAGGGGAGAAGATGGAGTCTGTGAAGTTAAATGAGGCTAGTTGACCCTGATGGACAGCAAACTCATGATGACTTTGCTTGGCCTTATTTTGCCATGATCTGCCCAAGTGAGCTAATAGGTTCAGAAGCAAAGCTTAAAAGTGAGATTTAAAGACTACTTCTATAAATCTTGCTGTCCCTATTAATGACAATCATCCAAAACAATCTAAAATTATGAGAGCCTTTGCATTTCTCCAGTAGATTCTGGTTGAAGATGGCAGACTGATCATATGAATTTATCTCCTCTCCTGCCTAAGACACACACACCCCCCAAAATTTTAAGAAAATGGTAGAAGAAAGAGCAGCAGATAGGAAATTTCAACCAGCTTTTGAAAACCTGAAATCAGAAGAAGCAGTAACTGATTTGCAGAACAGAAACTGAATAACCCCAGGAAAAAAATATATCCTGTGTCCTCCAGAGAACTGGCTGCCTCCAGCCTAATGGTCTTGAACCTATAATACACAGAACGAAGGGACCCAGGGAAAACAGAGGTAACACAGGAAGAAGAAAACTCTTTTTAAAACTTTCAGGTGCCTTTCCCTTCTCCTTCTTGTCCCCGCCCCCTGCTCCCCCTCCCCCGCACGTAACCTTTGCCCTTCTCTCTCCTAAGCTCCTGGGGCCCTTCTTTTGCTTCTGTAACTTATTTCCTGAGCCTACACAGCCCAGCTGGCTCACTTCTACTGCTACCAAAGCACAAACAAACAAAAAAACCAAACCTCTAAAACTTTCAGAGAGGTCAAAGATTATATGGCACCCATTAAAAACAAAACAAAACAAAACAGAATGCTATTAAAAATAAACAAAGTACATAAAAGATATCTTAGAAATTAAAAATATAATAGCCAAGTTAACAATGTGGTTATGTGGGTTGGAAGGGAAGATGAATGAAATCTCCCAGAAAGCAGAAAAAGGTACAAAAGAAAGGAGATATAGGGAATCAATACAGAAAGCCAAAATCTAAGTTGTAGAATTCCTGCAAAAAGGGTCAGTAAATAGAGATGAGTAAAGTATACAAAAAAAGCTAGAAAATTCCCCAGACCCAAATGACCGAAGTCAACTAATTGAATAATAATAATAATAATAATAATAATATAATAAAAAATACTTAAAGCCCTGGAAAAATGACTGAAAAAAAAATTCACACAAAAGTATGTCCTGGCAAAATTTTAAAACACTGTAGATAAAAAGAAGATTCTAAAAGCAGAGAGGGAAAATAGGTCCCATTCAAAGGAGCAAGAAAGAAAATGGCATGAGAATTCTGTTATCAATATTGAAGGCTAGAAAAGAATAAAGCAATGCTTTCAGAATTCTGAGAAGAGTGTATCTTTCAAACCAGAAGGTAAAGACATTTTCATTTATTCAAGGAACCAGAAAACCTATTTTCTGTTCACCCTTTTTAGGACTTTACTAAGGATGTTCTGTAACCCAAACTGGATGTAGATCAAAACAGAGGAAGCGTGGAACTGAAGAAGCAGCACGTAGAAGGTGGCCCAGAGAACAATCAACATTCTGAAAGCGTGGATTGAAACGGGAAAGAGGCTTCCACGTGCGAGTCTCTATGAAATGAGAAAACTGGTAGTTTCTCTGTTCCCTGTGAGCACTGGGGGGAAACTGGCAGCTTGTGAATCTATTTGAGCTGCTGTAAAAATATTTTAAGTCCTTTTATTTTTCATTTTCATTTTATTTTAAATGTACTCTAGAGTTGCAAAAAAAAAGAAATACTATCATAGGGCCGTTTGGAGTACTGAAGCGAACAGTATTTACATAGACATAAACACAGATTAATTGAACTGACAATTATGATGTAATTATGTTAGAAGTGTTGTAAGTGCGGGGGGTGGGGGTGGAATTGTAAAAAGATTTAACCCACTTGACTGTAAATTCCGCAAAGTCAGGGATTTGTCTCTGTCGTCACCTCCGGAATCCTGAGCGCAAGAAGCAGAGTCTGGCACGTAGTAGGAGCTCAGACAACATTTGACTTGCTATCATACACCATACCAATAAAGTCCATAAATACCATGTAAAAGGGGTAGATCAAGAAGCAGCCCTGTAAGATACCATCTAGGAATATGGAGAGAGGCAAAATATAAACACATACACATACACGCAGAGAAAGAGCGAAAATGATATAAAAGAAAAAATTATTGTTTCTGAGGCCATCGTTGAGAGACAGTCTGAAGGGGCGGGGCAAGACACTACTGTTCGTCTTTTACTGATCCGGTGCTCCTTGGTATTTTTAAAATTATGTATATGTCATAAATATTTTGATTAAAACTTTAATGAAGACTGATACAAGCTTTAAATAAAACAATTTTCTGCAATAAAATATTTTTAAAAGAAAGTACTGAGCACCTGAAACCTTTATAATTTTACTAACCAATGTCATTCCAATACATTCAATTAAAAAAAAAAGTATTTAGCAATAGAAGCTGAACAGAAAGTGATCGAGGATCCTTCATTGTGAAAAAATATGCCAGCCTCGGCTGGTGTGGCTCTGTTCCTTGGGTGTCTTCCTCGGGGCGAAAGGTCACCCACCGGTTTGATTCCAGTCGGGGCACATGTCTGGGTTGCAGGTTCGTTCCCTGGTTGGGACGCGTGCCCCAGGCAGCCAATCAGTGTTTCTCTCTCATGCCAACGTTTCACTCCCTCTTTCTCCTTCTTTTCCCCTCTCACTAAAGAGAAATAAACACAATCTTTTTATTATTATTATTATTTAAGATTTTATTTTTATTTATTTTTAGAGAGAGAAGGGAGGGAGATAGAGAGAGAGAAAAAAACATCAATGTGCGGTTGCTGGGGCTTGCAACCCAGGCATATGGCCTGACTGGGAATCGAACCTGTAACACTTTGGTTCGCAGCCCAAGCTCAATCCACTGAGCTACGCCAGCCAGGAAATAAATACAATCTTTAAAAAAAAAAAACATGTCAAACAAAAACTCAACTTGCTTTTTTTGGCACCATGACCATCAGTATGTTAGAAAAGGTAAGGGTGGCTGAGCTGATAAAATTCTAGTTTAATGCACTGCACTGGAATGGCATGAGCTTTTAATAGATTTAGGGAATACATTAGTGGTGATTTATTTTGCACGACTTCTCATGTAACCTAGCTTTATGATAGTGGGCAAGGTTAAAGCATGCCTTGCTATGCGATTATGGCTATTAAACTTACAGCATTTGCTACAATATGGATGAATCTTGAGAACATCATGCTAAGCGAAATAAGTTAGAAAGAGTTAAAAACCATACAACTTTACTCATATGTGGGATATAAAACTGAAAGCAACAAATCAACGATAAGAAAAACAAAGAAAAACTCGTAGACACAGACAAGAGTACGGTGGTGACCAGAGAGAAGGGGGTTTGGGGGTAGGAGAACATAAAAGGGGCCAAACATACGGTGACAGAAGATGATTTGACTTTGGGTGGTGGGCACACAATGCAATACGCAGATGATGCATCATAGAATTGTAGCCTTGAACCCTATATAATCTTATTCATCAGTGCCACCCCAATAAATTTAATCTAAAAAAATAAATAAATACACAGGTGGGGTTTTTTTTTATTTAAAATTAGCCCTGGCTGATGTAGCTCAGTGCATTGAGCTCAGGACTGTGAACCAAAGGCCGCTGGTTCTATTCCTAGTCATGGCACATGCCTGGGCTGCAGGCCAGGCCCCTGGGAGGGGGTGCTCGAGAAGCAATCCCATATTGATGTTTCTCTCCCTCTCTTTCTCCTTCCCTTCCTCTCTCTCTAAAAATAAACAAATAAAGTCTTAATAAATAAATAAATAAAAATAAAAATGTAAAATTATTGTATTGGTGAGCAAATGATATTTATTTGGTCGTGTTAAGAAATCTAGGTAGGCTCTTTTCACCGGAGTGAATTCAAGGTAGACGATTAATTCTCTTCCCTTAGCTTTGGTGCTAAAACGTTGACAATTCTTGTGGGTTTCTAACCAACCCCCCACCGTCCCCAAACTGGAATGTTTACCACGTTCCTTCCTCTTCTAACATTAGGACCCTGTGCCTCTTGAACTGAGCTTCAGCAGGTCCTTCGACAGCAGTGCGTAAAGCAGAGCGTGGGCTTCCGAATCAGGTAGTGCCCGTCACAAATCCCGTTGTCTGCTAGCTCTATGACCATGAGCTACTTAACCTCTCTAAGCCTCAGGTTCTACCCTTTTAAAGCAGGGATATTAACACTTAGCATATCACACTGTTAATAAAAATCAGAGGTCAATAGACAGGGTGAATCCTTGGTAAAGTACCTGGTACTTAACTTCATAAATGGCAGGTAACAGGACTACTTAGGGCTCAGAGATTCCATTGTTTAGTTTTGTGACATATTTTTCTCATCTTCCCAGAAGTTCACCTAATGTCATGCATGTATATTGATTTTAGAAAGTCAATTAAAATGAATTAAAGTTTGGTTTTCAGGAGTCCATGAGACCCTCTGAGATAGCTGTGCTGTTGCCGACCCAAGGGCCTGGGGCTTTCTGCAAAGCATCTGCTTCATGGTGATAATAGCGCTTAGGAGGGGCCGCGGTGACAACTGTTAGTTGAGTGGGGGGTGCGTGGGGTGTTTATTATACCATTCTGTCTACTTTGTGCATGCTTGAAATGTTCTATACTAACAAGCTAGAATAAAGATGGGCTCCCAAGAAAGGAAAAGGTGTTAACTCGGTTTTCCTGAGCAAAGAAAGCATGGGTTGGTACAGATCCTCTCTTGTCCACTGGGTCAAGTTAGCAAAAGAAAGAGTCAGTGCTTTCTGCAAGATCAAAATCATGGCAGGTCCAGAAACTGATGCCCAATTCCAATTCACTGGTATCAAAAAATGTTTCAACTCTTACACTCTCACAGGGCGAATGAATTGTGTACTGGCTACATATGGAGGCATTGCTTTGCTGGTTTTATACTTCAAGTTAAAGCCTAAGAAAAATCCAGCTGTAAAAGCAACATAAAAGGATTCTAAACTGTACCTCATCTGTAATTTCCCCTACCTGGAGAAGCTAATGTCAACTCATCATGTGATACTCAATTTGTACAATAAATTATGAACCTGGAAAAAAAAAGAAAAAGAAAGAGTCCATTTTCTTGTAAATATTTTCCATCGTAAATTCTATTTTTGTTTTTATTATAAAGAGCACACCGCCTGACAAGAATGAAGATTTAATCTCTGGCCAGCTATATCATCCTCGATCTGCTAAGCACTTGAAGGAGAGACTCTCCAGGTAAATCTAGGTAGGAAGTAAAGTGTCAACGAGTCAGCCTGTGGCGCACTCTCTGCATTGACACTAAATCAAAACTCAGTTAATGACTAGGACTGTTTTGTTGTCTATGCACTTGTTTTGGGAGAGACAATAAGATTGAGTGTGTCGCTATTAATAGATTTAAACACTTCCCTCTTTTTTTTCGGGCGGCGTTTATTGCACAAGTCCATGTGTTGCTGGTGGAAACCTAGATAAGTCATTATTTGGATAATTATTCTCGCCAGGAAACGCCATTGGTGGTTTTCGTTAAACAAAAAAATGATGTTGCTTTTCCTGCTCTAAACTATTCGCCTGGGTTGTTTACACATGAAGTTGTGCCAAGCACAGTCTTTCCCACAAAGGCTGTGTTTTGCTGGTCCAGTCGGTGATTCATCCACTATACACACATAAAAATTATAGTTCACGAGGTTGTTGTAAGAACTAATTAACGTTTGCTGTGCACTTTATGATCCCCAGATCATAAAGGCTGTAAGGAAATGCACTGTGTCTACATAATGTAACATTGGTACACAATGTAAAAAATGTTGGGATCTTTTTGAATGAAAGGTCGAGTAGCCACTTCAAGTTATTTTTATTAGTGTTTGCAGAAGTCAAACACTATTTGGAGGAATATAATGAAACCCCAGAGATTTTCCCGGTGAACATGTAACTGACAAAAGAAGGAAGGAGATAATAATTGTGTTGTAGACTAAGGAAATACAGCTTTTTGCTTTTGGATAGCTAATACGAGAAAGAAAGAAAAAGCAACAAAGAAAGAAAAGAAAAAGAAAAAAGAGCACACGGTCAGTGTTCAAAGGAGATAGCCTAACAGCAATGATGAAGATCCTTCATTCCTGACATACTTTTCCCATTGAGATAAACAATTATAAACTGGCCAAAAGAGCTTATCAGAAATATTTGATCTTGTCTCACTCCTCATAGTTTTACATGTGGCTGGGGGAAGACAGTTCAAAGGAAGAGAAGGGAGGCAGGGAGGGAGGGAAAACTGGGCAAACACCAGTAGCGGAAGAAAAAGCCTGAGCATTATTTTGAACCCATCCTTCTTTCACTGCCTCTGAAAACGAAGGCCTAATAATAGTTCCTCACAAGTATCAGTTCCTCCTGCCTATTCCCCTCTGCCTCACCCCCGCTGCATCCCTCAGCGTCTCAGGTCTGGATTACTCCAGTCCTGGCTCCCTGGCTGTTCTCCCCGAACATCCTCACACTGCATACCAAACGCACCACATCCCAACTCCCTTCCTGCTCCGAAGGCCTGTTATTATCAGGCCCCACTCCACCTGTCCTGCAGGAGCTCTGTTCAAGTCCCGTCGTTCTCCTTGGAGTGGCCTCTCCTTCACAGTCTTTAAACCACCGGGATGCACTGTCCTTCCCCGTGACCAATTGAGATGTAACCCGCTCTTAAAGTTTCTGATCCGCTTCAAAGCCTTCCCTGACTGTGCGGCTCGCAGTCATCTTTCTCTTTTCTGACCTTTTTGGTGTCTGGGCCACGGTTTAGAGTTTGCACCATGGACTTTCGTGTTTGTTGCTCTTACCTACAGGATGCGGCTTTAACCTCCCTGAGGGCAAGGGCTGGTCTGGATACGCATTTTGCAAGTCGCAGAGTGAAGCGCTTAGAGAGAACACACTGAGTGTTTGTCTGCTTGGCTGATCCTAAGTGCGCTCTGCTGTTGTGTCTCTTTTAAACCAGGGTGGTGGGGTCCCCTGAGGCTCACTGGCTTTGGAATCAGAGCCGAATGAGAATGCCACCTCTGCCTTAAATATATTCCACCTCTGCTGCACGATTTTTATTTTCTAATGTCTAGAAAAGCTGTCAAGACAATACTAGACATGCCCATCCAGCCCCTGACCGGTGGAGAAAGACGTCACATCTGGGGAGAAGAACCGTCAGTGTAATAGGAGAGGAATGTTTCACCAGCCACCTCCAGAGCCTAAAGGAAATAGTACCAGCAAATGTTTGACTTTTCTTGCTACAATTCTATTCTCACTAATGAACTTTCTGGTTTTCCAGGATCCCTGATACCAGGAAGAGAGAGTCCCAGGTAGAGGGAAAGAGTCTCCAGACACTGGCATGGAATAATTGATCACATAACATTATGGCTCTGTACTAGTGTCCTATGAGTTTGGCCAGTGTGGATTGTCTTGAAGACACTCCTTATCTTTTAAGTAATTGAGAAAGTCCAGTGGATTGAAAAAAAAAAAGGCTGAGAAACAGTGGACACCCTTCCACATCCTCTGCCAAGGAGGGCCGGCCAGAGCAAAACTCCTGAGCCACATTCCCAGCTCAGCCCCCAAGACCGGCACACACATCTGCTTCTCAGACCATCGGTCCCGATTTTGGCTATGCCGAAGGAGCCATACCAGGCAGTGGTCAAGAGAGGGGACGTTAGAGCTGGGTGGCCTCAGTTTGAAGCCCGATAGGTTATTTACAAAGTCACCTTGAGCCAGCAGTCAACCGTCACGTGCCTAAGTTTCTAACTGCACCCACCTCACAAGGGTGTCTTGAGACACTGACATATGTAAAACACTTCAAACGGGGCCCGGCACATAAGTCCCCATAAATAATAATCATGCAAAAGGCAAGTTTCAGAGAGAACTATAATAAAATTAGTTTAACCCCAGTCTGTTGACTCATTTGGGTAAAATATGAGGAATAATTTTAAAAACCTGTTGAAAGTTAGCACAGACTGCTACTTCCCCATCTTTGCCAGTTTCTTTTGACCACAAATTTGTTTCCCCATAGCAATTGATAGTGATTCCTTACAAACAAAAAGGGCCCCTGGGCTTTTTTCCTGAGGTCCCAGTCTTGGGAGGTGAATTCTAGGTGGGGTGGGGGCCCCTCTGAAGAAGAAAGGAAGGTGGGAGCCATCCCACAAGCCCTAGGGAAGAAAGGTCTTCAGAGATGTCCCTGGACCTCAAGAAATGCTCTGTCATCATCTCCTTTTGAACCAGAGCTTCTGACTCAATTAAAGATCGGCTTGATGCTTGCTCTCAGCAGTATGAAGAGATTGTCTTCAATCCTTCGGTGGGTAAAGCTGTTTGTAATACAAGTAAGCTCTCAGTTAATACCCAAGAATGTGTATGACATGCTTTTTCATGAACATTCTCCTAGGAGATCGGAATATATTGTTATCCAATGTATTCCTTGGATGATTTAGAATAGGGATCCCCAACCTCCTGGCCACGGACCAGCGATGGTCCACGATCTATTAGAAACCAGGCCACACAGCAGGTGGTGAGCAGCCCAGGTCCACTGCTGAGGCTGCTGCAGCCCATCCAGCTGGGCCCCCGTGTGCGCCCACCTTGGCCATGATGGTCCTTGGCTTTCAGAGCGGCCACCGGGACTTCTCCTTCGGGCCCTGGAAGCTGACAGCCACCAGGACCCACATCGTGAAGTTGACAGAGAAGTTAGCTGATGAAGTGCATGCATATGCCAGTCCTCCCCAAAATGATATTTGGGGATGTTTTAAGAATCCAGCACTGTTCTGGCTTTGGGATGGAGCTCAATGCTACAGGTGCTCTGAGGTGTGTAAACAGCTACCAAGGAATGCTCCAAGCAGCCTGTGCGGAAGAGTGGCAGGACAGCAGGACGGAGGGTGAACACCAAGGAGGTTGTTAAACCGTACGATTGGACCGGACCTGTACAACAGGTTATAAGGGAACATTACTTGGAGAATCACTCAAGTGAAAGGTCGTGCCCACAACACGTCATATAAACACAGAGAAACTGAAAGCCAGAGAGCAGATTAAGTTTTTTGAAGGAGTTCTCCTGTTTGAGGATGAGCTTCATGATCGTGGAGTTTTAAGTCTACATGTGAAAACTAGAGTAATGCCTTCCTGCTTTTCCTTGCTATTGCATTTTTTGTTTTTTGAGAATTGATGGAGTGCTTATCAGAATGCATGCCATGAGAGTTTACCAGAGGCTGACAAGACCTACATTTGACGAGAATAAACATCATGAGAGAGCAAAATTGCTAATTTAACTAACGCATGCTCTGCCTTCCTCATTCACTGAGCCCAGTGAAGTAGCGCCGTATTTACCGATCAAGGAGGCCGTCTACGAGAAGCTCGTATTTCCAGAAAGAATAAATCACAAACCCACAGACTCACAAGAAAATGCACCTGTGGAATAAAATGTGGCGTACCACTTGCTCACCGTGGGATCTGATGGAGACCTTGGCTACGTGGATGGGGATATTTTTATTAGGAGAATTAATTGCCTTGTCTATGTGCAGATTTTCAATAGCCTTAAAGGAAAAAAATAAAGAATTATTGCAGGCAAAAAAATAATAATAATAAAAAATAAATAAATAAATAAATAAATAAATAAAGTCACAGCAGGATATCCTGAGATGGCCACAAAAGCACTGAAAAGCCTGCTTCCAATTCTGACATCCTGCCTCTGTGAAACAGGTTCTCTGCAGTGACGGCAACCAAAGCGAGATTAGGAGCAGACTGGGCATAAGCAACACACTCCGGGTGTCCCTGTCTCCCGTCACCCCCAGACGGGACCGTCTAGTTGCAGGAAAACAAGCTCAGGGCTCCCTCTGATTCTGCATTACGGCGAGTTATGTAATTATTATATGTTACAATGTAACAATAATAGAAATAAAGTGCATGATAAATGTAATGCGCTTGAATCATCCCGAAATCATTCCTCTCCTCTCCCTCCCCTCTTCCCCCACCCACGGAAAAACTGTCTTCCACGAGACAAGCCCCTGGTTCCAGAAAGGCTGGGGACCACTGATTTGGAACACTGATGGAATTCTTTAAAAATGTACTCCCACCTTCAACAAATATTTCTG